GATAATGGTTTACAAGCTACAAGGAAGGGTGCTAATGTTGTGATTGCAGCTGGAGGTGACAGAACTTTTTATGACATGTAGATTTTTTTTCATAGTAATCTTATAATATGTTTTATTTTTCCTTTTTTTTGTTTGCATATTTTTTTTAAAAGAGCAAATGATAAATTAAATTATCTATTTTGGTTTGTGATAAACAGATTGTTAATAGGTTCTTTTGGGATGAAAACTTGTTGCTAATATGAAGATAGAGGTCGTTCATTCAACTGCTTTTAGTTTAAAATTACCATTAAGCTTTTTTTTAATCATCCTCTTTTTGGTAGGATTTTGGTTAGGCTTTAATGAATGATAATCTTGAATTTATGTATTTTTTTCTCTTTAGTCTTCACTTGCAACTTGGAATTCTTTTTGGATTCCCTCTTTTTGCATTTTTCTAAAGAAAATATAACCATATTATACTTTCTTGCAATTCATTCCTATAAGGACTGGATCAAATTTTGCCTAAACATTGGGTTGGTTAGTTTATGCTAATCCAATCTAAATTTATTTGTTATAAGTTTTTATGCTATGATAGCTTTTTTCTCGAGTGTTTGTTGTTTTATCTTTTCTTAGGAAAAATGATCTCTGCAAAGCCATAAAACATATTGCTAGAGGTATTTACATGCTCCTTTATGGATATTTTTCTCCTTTTATGTTAATTTTTTAGTAAATGCAAACTGAAAAAGCTTTTTTTCCCTTAAAGATTTATTGATGCTGCTGTATCTCAAGGGTGACATCATTAACCTGGCAAAACCTTTTATTCTGAACACAAGAGATTAAAACAGTGAGTTTTTGCTTCATATTTTTAATATTGTTTAAGTTATTTATTTTGTTTGAAATTCTTAGATTTTGGCTTCATGAATCTTATTGTATTGCCACTTAGTGATTTTTTATTAGTAATAAATGAATCTTGAGATATGTTTTCCATTTAATATATTTATGTTGTATTTATCTTGCTTGGGTTATGATTTTAATTTGATAGTTTTTCTTTTTTGTTTTCATTTGTTAAAGGAATTTTTTATTCTTTCATATCAATCATCATAGCATCATATGCCTACATTCTCCATGAAAATGACCTTAAAAATCAACCTTCAAACGAGTTCCAATCTTAGCAAAACTCGATGATTTTGTTCGATAAAGATATTTTGGAACAAGGTTTAGTAATTCATCCTCAGGGGTTTGATTTATTGTTCCAAGATAGAAGATGCTCCCAACCATTTTTTCTTCATAGCTTTAGCATGTCTTTTTATCAGTATATGTCGACTATGGTTAGTGGTGGGACGAAAAAGATTAAGCTCATGAGTGATGTTGCAAAAGTTTTTAAGGATAACATTGTTGAAACAGTGGCTTCACAGGCTCTTAATATGAATGAGGTTACCATTACTACTGTTAATTATTGGTTACCTATTGCTACCTTGTAGTATGTTATTGATGTAGTTTATTCTTTTACTGGCTTCAATTGGTAAATTATTGCTTTTACTTATTTTATATTTTTGTAATTACACAAATGTTTCAAGAATGCACTGCATGTTGATGGTAATCATTTTTGCAAAAATATTGCATAAAAAAGCCTTTTTGTTGAATTATTACTTCTCTATAAATGATTCAATCAATTGGCTTCAAACTATCTATTGGAGTAATATTTTAAATGATGAAAGAGGGACAACATAAACTATGAGGATTGTAAATATAATGATTTCTGTCTAATTTAAAGACATTGTTTTAAATTTAATATTTGGAAAATCAAGGCTCTAAATGAGATGGTTGGATATTAATTTCTTTAAGTTTACAAATTTATTAGAAGTAAAATTCACTTAATACATTAGGTGGTTTCTGAAGGTTACTTTTTCATTAACCATATGGTATTTCATTCTTTGTATCTGTTTTGCTTTGTAGGTTTCTAGGCTAGCATTTAGTTGTGCTATTTGAAAAATGATTTAAGTTTAAGTTAAATTGAGATATAATAATTTTAGGCAAAATAGATTTGTAAGATTTCCAAGAGCCCAATTCACTAGTTTAAAGTTTTATGAAGTTTTAATTTTGTCTATCCTAGAGTCTTTTTGCAAAATTGGTTTTAAACTAATATATCTTTTTTTTTTCTTGAGTTATTCGGTATACTTCTCTATATTGAGTATTGAGTTGCAAATAAGGTTATTTATTATTTTGTGATCCAATGATGATGACAAACAAATATGTTTTCAATGAATAAATTTAATATATCATCATTATTGACTTTAACTAATGTAAATATTCAAAATATAAATAACTAGATGACTTTTTTCTCTTAAACATTGTTCAATATTTATATTATTAATACATAATTTTATTTTCTTCTACAATTAAATTATAAGTATATAACTTTATTTTACTTTCATGACAAAATGCGAACTTAAAACTTAATAATAATGAAATCTTTCTAATATCAATAAAAGTTCAATTATTAATAAATCTATCTTAAAATAAAAGTATCAAAAGGCTAATTTAAACATTTTTCATGTACAAATAAAGAGAATGTAGAGATAGAATAGAGCAAAATAACACTTCAAAGTTATGTAACTTGTATTTGTTCATATCAAAACATTTAATTAGTACTTAAGTGCAATAATCACGTATAATTTATCTGCTATTACAAGTAAAAAAATAATAAATGGATATCAAATTAGACAAAACGATATGAAATTACCTTTACATTATTATTTTTTTTTTACAAAAAAACCACAACTGAAAAATAAAGTCTGAAACCAAAACATTTAAATTCAAGAAATCATAAACTCATTATGATTTATTTGAAATAAATCTCTACAAAAATAAATTGATAAAACATGTTAAACCAAATGACTCCTATAACAAAATGTGAATTTGAAATAACTTTAAAAAAAAATATCGACTCGAATCCATAAGGATTTACTTAGAAACCAATTTATGTTAATTCAAAATTTTTATTTGAATTTTAAAAAAATTTGAAACAATTCTAGAAAACTGTATAGAGCGCATTGCCGATTTATGTCAACAACATATGATTTACCTTAATTTTTTAAAAAAAGTATTTTTGCAGATGTTTTCATTGTTATTTGTCAGTATATGGAATGCCAATAAAATACACCTACTATAAATGTATTTTTGAAAAAAAAAAAAATAATTACATTTTCACTACTTAAATATAAAATTAAGATTTTATAGAAACAAAAAATCAAATTAAAAACTCGACGTCAGTAACCTCGTCATAATAAAACTGATTTTGGGATAAACGAATTTTCTAAAGCAGCGACGCGTGTTTGAAAATCTGCCATCGACAATTTCGTCAAATTCAAAGCCAAATCCGGCCTTGGCTTCCCTATAATTCCCAGTTTGCTTCCCCACCACTCAAGGACCTTGGAATCCGAAATCAAAAATGGCTTCCATCTACTGCTGTACAGAGTGCGGAACCAACCTAAACTTAAGCACAACCCATCTCTTCCCTCCAGACTTCTACTTCGAAGCGGGAAACAAGGGCACCCTCTCCTTCGCCTTGATCGACGCCTCCAAGTTCAAGTTAGAGAAAGAGGACAAGATCAGGCCTTTTTTTGAGACCGTTAATTACTGGGGATCGTACGAAACAGGACCAAGATCAAGTGCAATAACTGTGGCAAACTCGTTGGTTATGTTTATGATGACGGTCCTCCTCTCACCAACAGTCCCGGTCAATACCATTTTGGGCCCAGTCAGGTGATCCCTAGAGCTCCTAGATATCGGTTCAAGACCAAGGCGCTTAACATCATGTCTGAAACTTGAAGAACTTTTCTGATTATGGTTTCTGGTTTTTGTAGATATTTTGGGTTGGGGGTTTCTTTGGTTTGGTCTATGTATACGGACGATCTTGTTATGTGAATTTCGATCACTCTATTTCTTCAATCCAATAGAGATTTTTATGCCAATTAAAGAGAATCCATCTCATCATTCCCTTCAGTTTATTAAATTGATTCATTCTTTATTTTTTTCTTGAACTTTAGATTTGATTGGTGATATTTTAGGCTGCGGTTTGCAGAGTCAGATACGAAACTAATAGGGGGTTAGAAATTGAACAGAACAAAGGTCGCATGTTCCAGTCGGAGAACCAGGAATGCGTCTAATATCTAACAGTTTCAGGAGATGTTGATGTGTTCTGCAGGTATCAACCTGAGCAAAAACCATATATGGAAGCCTTGAATTATCCACCATGATGATAATTTCAGAAAGTGATCTCAATCGTATTCAACCACCTATTGCGATGCTTACTCTGTCGCAGAGGTGGGTTGCTAAGTGATAACTTCAATAAACAGAACCAATCAGACTCAGCTGTTTGCAAGGGTAGTAAATTCCCAGATCAAGAAATTGTTTATTTTGGTCTTAGCTGATAAAAAGTTTCGGGTGAACCTTGTATCATCAGAGTAAATACTGGTGCTAATGACTTGAAATTCGTTTCTGCAATTTACCTTGTTGCATCAGTCTATTCCATGGTTTGAGTTGCAGTGAAAGTCCACTGCTAAATAAAATTTTGAGGGAACATCAAGGATGGTTCTCATTAATTGATTCTCATTGATCTATTAAATATGAAAGGGTTTATCCAAACCATGGGAACAACCATTGGATTATTCTGGAGTCTGGACTGTTTGGCGATTTAATTGGACCTGATTTTGAGTTGGGGTTACTGGTAGGTATGTGTTTGACCGAAGAAAAATATTGATTAAACCATTTCCCAGAACTTTTCTTCGGCCTAATTTTTTATATGGCAGTTTCTTCATTCCAGTATATGGATTATCCATATCTTACTTGTCTTCACTTGTCATTCTTACTACTTGAAATTGCATCTACCGGTCAAAATTTTGCATGCTGGTTAGTGTTGAGAAACCAGCCAAGCAATTCCAAAATTGAAAACCTTAGAGCACCCAAGAAACCAATCTATCACTCACAGTTGAAAGTTAGGTTGGATTAGTAGCTATGGGGGTTGGTTATGGAAGTGGCTTGTCACTTATTCAATAATTTTGTCCCCTGCTATTTTGTTATTTCACCTGATCATCTCAAACTTGGACTTGAGGCAAAGCTAAGTAGCATATTCAACGAAAGAGTTGTATGATTATGAATCCAACAAAGTTGGAAACTGACAGTATCATTGGTAAGCCTAAACAGGCAATCCCCCCACCGCCACTTCCAAGATTCTGGGCAAGGAAGACTACTGCCGACAGTATAACAAACCGAGAGATTGCCAAGTTCTGGAGGCAGAAGCGCATTGAAGAAGAGGATCACCTACTGGCTGCCATAAAGGCTGCAGCACGCATCAGGGCCCGCAATCTGTCGGTAAGATTATATGATACTCATTCAGCTTTATGACAGGGTTCTCTCTGAAACCTGCTATGAGCTTCACTAATTTTTGTTGATGAGCCGATTGCTTAACAGTCAAAGTGATCCATGTTGAGTATTGATTAGAAGAAATCTTTTATATGTTCACCTAATTGATAAGCCGGGGAAATAAAATGCTTGTCCTGTTTCATTCCTATTCTCTTCTTTTTCTGGTAATGTTGGTACCAAAGATAGGATTAAAATTTCCCTGGGATTCTATTTTTCGACAAAGTTGCCTGGAGAATTATTATCACTTGCATTTCAAGCTCACCATTTGACTAATGCGAAGAGAATTGCAATAGATAAGAAGCTCATTTCCAGGCATTAGAAGGCGGAGAGTTAGTTTTAATAAAGTCTGTAGCATGCCAAAACATTTGAGTCACTTTGTTCACTTGGTTAACTTGTTCAAGATCGATGTTGTGTAGGAGGAAGACTGTAAGTATTTTGAAGAGTCACTGAGCAATGAAGATAACAACGCTAAGGAGAAGATCACAGCCCCAACCAACAACGGAAAAGGAGATAAAAAAAATAATGAAATTCGTGTGGGAATAAAGGACTGGTTAGTAAAACTTCTCTTCAAGACTTTGGCTATTCTAATCATGATGAGAATAAACATACATAGGAAATCATATTGAAGTAGATTTCCCTGAATCGATTCAACTGCATTATTAGCTCCAAATGTCTGTGTCATACAGTTTTCTGACATCAAAAAATGAAAATAACTGCATTTTGCCCATGAAATCCATCAGATAACTGATTCTATATCACGACACGGACATATAATTTGTTAATTCTTTGCTCATCTTCTGGAGTTGTAGCTATTAGTTTAGGACAACTGATAAAATGCCTTTATTTCTTGAAAATTTATACTAAAACATTTTTATTGAACTCTGATATCTGCTTTCAACTAATATGAGCAGGTGGACAAAGAGCAAGTATGCGTACTTAAACCAACCAGCTGTTGAATCCATGGGCGATCCAAAGCGAGGAGCATCCACTTATTTTCCAATGTTTTTTAATTATAAACCTGCTCCTTTATATCCTACATCACTTGGTGTCTTTTAGACCATTGGGATAGGGGAGCTCTTTCAACTTTCGATTGATTGCATTACCTGCCATGCATTGATTTGTATGTGTCATTGAGAGTTCTTTTCATTTATTTAAGTGTGCTTGCAAATAAGTATGGTTAGTATTACTTCATTCTGTTATGAGAAAACCCTGTTGTAAAAAGTAGTGCTGTTGCAGGTGTCGTATATTTCAAAATGTTGCAAGTTGTTCTTTCTGCTTTTGTGGTAAACCAAAAGCCCAAGCTCTGTCAAAAAAAGTTTGATGCAATGCTTTTACATGATTGAGTTGGCAATTTCGCATCATATATATGTAGTTAGTTAACCATTGCACTTCTTTGTTTGCAATACTAGCAACCACACTTGAGCCAGAAAATGAAAATTTTAAAATAGACATAACCACAGAGCCGTTAGACAGACAAGAGAACAAAAACCAAATCATTTGAAGAAGCGCAATAAAACTCCCTATCTCCCATGGTTTTGAACTTTTGATTAGTTTTAAATGCCTCAAAATTTTGGGTACAGATAAAGTAAAAATTGCTGATAAATCATAAGTGCTAATAATAATGATGAAAAGGCTCAGTCTCTCCCAGTGATGAATTCTTCACAATTTTTGGTAATCAAAAAGGCATAATCAGCAGAAAAGCATAATAGAAGTATTCTGGGATGGACTTTTTACAAGCCGCTGACAGGTTGACCTTGTTCCCGATAGTTTAATCTTATCATCATGTTTTAGCACCGCTTCTCCATTATCAAGAAATTAAACATATACACATATAATCCAGCCAAGCATAACAAAGAAAAAAAATTATACTTATATTATTATCAAACATGAAAGTCATATAATTACTAGTTGACTTGGTTTTTTAATTCATAATAAATCACAACACATCCATTTATGAGCTGTATTTATCTCTCCTTCTCATTTTTTGTGGTTGTTATTTAATTTAGCAACATTTTTAAGCTAAAACGTGAGGCTGCCCACATGCTAAGATCGGGGTTCGAGCTTCAATGCTTGCAATTTTTTTTAATCTTCCTAAGCTCTGGCTTTTCTTACAAAAAAAAAATTTATTAACCTAACACATTTCCTTCTTTGGGATGACAAATTATTAATTAATTAATTTGTAAGGCTTTGCATGCAAAATTTATGGATAAGTTACAATGGGTAGCCGTACGCCACATTCGGTAACAGATAATGTTAGACTAGACAGGTTAGTTGGGTTAAAAAACAATTTTTATTGTTAAAATAATACAAATAAAAAATCTTGGTGCTAATAAGTAAACATATAATGGAAATATATAAATAAGAAAAAGTATAGGGAGAAAAGAGCAAAAACGAGAAATATCCAAATGCGATTTAAGGAGAACAATTTCGAAGGACATTGGTTTCCACAAGCTAACGAAACAGGAAACCAAAAGACTTATTATTACAAAAAAAAAAAAAAAAAGGTGGAGGAATAGAAGACTTCTAAAATAAAAAAGAAAAAAAAAAGTTAGCATTACTGATAACTAAGTCTCTTGTGAAACCGAGTCGAGGAAGTTCCAGATCTCGATCTCCGGAGTTTTTAGAAGCAATGGCGAAGCCGAGGTATTCGCGCCTTCCGGCTCGGAAATCGTCATCGTCAACTATGTTTCTAACCATGCTAATCATGTTCACCTTCCTGATTTTGATTCTTTTGGCGCTCGGAATCCTTTCAATTCCTAGCAGTAACTCCGGAAATTCACCTAAACCTAACGATTTGAGCTCGATTGTGCATAACGTCGTCGACAGGTGAGTTTTGTTTTTGAAATTTTTGGTTGAGTTGGATGGCGAATGGCGATCTGGTAATAACTCTGCTTGTTTTGGGTGCATTTTTGGAATTGGCAGAAGTGATGATGATGAAGGAAGAGGAGAGCACTGGGTTGAAGTCATCTCTTGGGAGCCTAGAGCTTTTATCTACCATAATTTCTTGGTCAGTTTCTCATTTTTTTTTCTTTGGCAGAAAAAGGTTAATTTTTTTTTTCTGTTCCTCTTCATTTTTATTTTTAACTCTAACTGAAGCATTATCGCTATTGAAATTATTTTTCAAATAAGCAATTTTTTTTTATTTGTTGGCCTTTGATTTTTTTCTTTTAAATTTCATAGAAAAGTTTCCTGTATTCTAGTACTTTAAACTGATAATGTAATGCGAAATATTTATTAAGAAGTTTATCTCAAATATATTCTTAGTAATTAAGCGGATCCATAAAATAGAAGATGATTTAATGTCATTTTTTTATACAATCATTCACAAGAACTAAAAACAAAAGCAAGGAAAATCAGAGAAAGTTAATACTAGAATAATAAATGCATTCATGTCCTGCTGTCCAATTTTTGGAGTAGATCCTATTATGAACATGGGTTTCTTACTTGGTCCGAAATGAATTTTTAGTTAGAAAGTTTTTGTACCTGATCAAGGTCCTTGTGATATTTGGCAGTCCAAGGAGGAATGTGAATACCTGATTGATCTTGCCAAGCCTCATATGGTAAAGTCAACCGTTGTTGATAGTGAAACTGGCAAGAGTAAAGATAGTAGGTATGTACTTCTTAATGATCTTATTGCATATAGTTTTCATTTTTATATTTGTTAACTCTTTGATTATATGTGAAACCCTGGATGTTTACATACAGGGTACGTACAAGTTCTGGAACATTTCTAGCTAGAGGACGTGATAAGATTATTAGGAACATTGAGAGAAGGATTGCAGATTTTACCTTCATACCAGTCGGTATGTCTAGTATCTGGATCAATCCAAATTTATCTGTCATTTGTTTTTCATTACTTTCACTAGTGTACTTCTTTCTTCCATATTATCATGTATTCTTCCTTAGAGTCTGCTTTAGGTCAGCTCTTGTTTTTTGTGCTATCAGTGGTTGTAAAGTTACTCATGGCAACACAATAATATGCAGAGCATGGGGAAGGACTTCAAATTCTCCACTATGAGGCTGGCCAAAAATATGAGCCTCACTATGACTACTTCATGGATGAGTTCAATACTAAAAACGGGGGCCAGCGCATAGCTACAGTCCTTATGTACCTGTAAGTGGCATTACATATTTTCACTGTGTTTTTTTATCCTAGTGCATTATGTGTAAGTTCACATTTGTTCTTTCTGTACTTTTTTTACCGTTTTACAGCTCAGATGTTGAAGAAGGGGGAGAGACAGTGTTTCCTGCGGCAAAGGGGAACATTAGTGCTGTGCCTTGGTGGAATGAATTATCTGAGTGTGGAAAAGGAGGACTTTCTGTTAAACCAAGGATGGGTGATGCATTACTTTTCTGGAGCATGAAGCCTGATGCAAGTCTTGATCCTTCAAGTCTGCATGGTTAGTTCTAGTTACTATTTAGCTTGCTGCTGAGGTGTGTGGTTCAAATTTCAGCTTTATCAAACAGGGACCCTTTAATTTTTGAGCATCATGACTCATTTCCCTTGAATGTCTAGTTGCATTACTTAATTTATCACAAGTTAATATCTTCCTACTTTCTGTTCATTTCTTTTCTAGGATCATTTATAATTTACTGTTTTTAATTATCCAGGAGGCTGCCCTGTGATTAGAGGAAATAAGTGGTCGTCTACGAAATGGATGCGAGTCAATGAGTACAAGGTTTAAGCAAACATTATAAAGGTAACTTTTTCTATGTAGTATTTGATAGTTTTCAGAATCATTGACTTATCTATGGTTCCTATGGTTCTGTATCTAGACCCGTTAAATTAAGCTGATGATGATGAATATTAATTTATACCATATGCAATGTTGGTTTACATCTTCAAAAGAGCATCACTTAGCGTAAACTAAAAGTTCATGGAAAGGTCAAATTTAAGTGATTTTTTGAAATGAATAAGAGATGGCCTGTTGCAACGGATCGCTGAAAGCTACTCATTATTCACTTTTAATGATTTGAATTCTTTCTTCTTTTTTGAGAGTGAGGGAACAGAAGAACCTCAAAACCCCTGTTCCTGCTTTTTCCCCGATCTGCATTGTTCTAGGCATTGCTTTCTTCAGAGAATTCATACTAGCATTGTTCTTAACATTGTCTTTTTATCTTACATTGCTTTTTTTGTTCTTAGATGACAGGATTGAGTTGGATTTCTTATTTCCGTACTGTACTTTTGGAAAGTTAAAGTGAGAACTCTGCAGCCATTGTGCTTCAAGTATGGTATACTGCCTGGTACCTTCCTCCTATCTTTTTTCGTGTAGTGCTTTCTCCTGCTGACTTGGGCTCATGCTTCAATCTTGTTTCTTCTTTTTTTTTTTTTTTTTTTTTTTAATTTTCATTTCTTTGGTTCCACTTTTACCTCAGACAAGAGCCTTTATATTTTACTACCACTAATAATAGAATAAAGCCGGATTTTTCGCTTGCATGCGAAGTGAAATTCCCAGCACAGATGAAATTATATTTATCAAGAATGACAAGTTATTTATTTGACGTCTTTAGAGTCTTTTTAAATTGTTCTCTGCCCACCATGCTTAACTTTTATTTCTTGCAAATCAATGTTAACAAATGTAATCGTATCCTCATTAACCCTAAAATTGTTATTTTATAATAAAATTGAAATGTTGAGACGTTTAATAGTTTTATATGTTAAGTATCCATTGGCTGGATTTTACCTTACTGAACTATAAAAAACAAAAAATCAACTTTAGTAAAATAAAATAAATGTTATTTTATAATGTAAAAGATAAAATAGATGTTAAAGTAAATAAAAAATTGTTATTTTATAAAGTAAAAGATTGGAGCTGATCAAACTTGTACTTAAAAATCTAAATGTGTTAACCCAATCCAAAATGGACTGGCATGTAGGCTTGGGTAGTAGCTAACGATAAGATTCACGCGGGACTCCCCAACCCCGACCGAAACCGAGTGACAATTTACCTCGGGAAATCATCAATTCAATCATGAATTCGATAATGACACATTACGATGAACCCCCGGGGCGGGGGGGGGGGGGGGGGGGGTGTGGAGGAAGAGGGAATGCAGTTGGTGAGAAAAAAAAAGTTAAAAAATAAAATAAAATCGTAGTATTTGATATGATTTAAATTATTTTTAAAATTAAAAAAATAAAAAATTAATTTGAAATTTTAGAATTTGATTTAGTATGGATTTTTTTTATTCGAATCAAATTTTAATATTAAATATATATATATTAAATTTTAATCAAATTTTAAATTAAAAAATAAAAAATTTTAAAAAAATAAAAAAAACAAATCACGAGAAAAATAGATGGTGAGAAAAAATAAAAAAATTAATTCAAAATTATAGTATTTGATTTGGTTTAGAGCAGTTTTAAAACTGAAAAAATAAAAAAATTGATTCGAAATTTTAGTATTCGATTTAGTTTTAATCAGGTTTTTTTTTATTCAATTCGAATCAAATTCGAATATTAAATATATATATTAAATATTTCGAATCAAATTCAAATATTAAATATATATATATATATATTAAATTCAGATCGAATTTTAAATCGAAAGATAAAAATTTTAAAAAAATTTGAATCACGGGAAATACAGGTGGTGAGAAAAAAATGAAAAAAAAAGATTCAAAATCGTAGTATTTGATTTAATTTAAATAATTTTTAAAAATAAAAAAAAAATTTGATTTGAAATTTTAGAATTCGATTTAGTATGGATAAATTTTTTCTTATTTGATTCGGATCAAATTTGAATATTAAATATATATATATATATATTAGATTTA